AATTTAAAGAAATTTCAATGATGAATAAATGTTTCTTTTAGATCTAAATAACTGCAAGTCGTTGCAAGTTGATCAATAATTGATTTTGTAATTTAAAGAAATTTCAATGATGAATAAATGTTTCTTTTAGATCTAAATAACTGCAAGTCGTTGCAAGTTGATCAATAATTGATTTTGTAATTTAAAGAAATTTCAATGATGAATAAATGTTTCTTTTAGATCTAAATAACTGCAAGTCGTTGCAAGTTGATCAATAATTGATTTTGCAAATTAAAGAAATTTCAATGATGAATAAATGTTTCTTTTAGATCTAAATAACTGCAAGTCGTTGCAAGTTGATCAATAATTGATTTTGTAAATTAAATAAATTTCGATGATGAATAAATGTTTTTTTTTAGATCTAAATAACTGCAAGTCGTTGCAAGTTGATCAATAATTGATTTTGTAAATTAAGGAAATTTCAATGATGAATAAATGTTTGTTTTAGATCTAAATAACTGCAAGTCGTTGCAAGTTTGAAAAACTATTGTTGGAAGTGAGTTTCTTTTTCTTTTTTGGTAGATTTTACCCTTAACGCAGAAAAATATACCGATGTTTCATGTTGTATATCATAACCATCAATTATTAAAATGCTAAATATAATATTCTTCACTTATTTTGACCTAGAATAAAATATTGATACAAAATAAAGAAAAAAAATATGTTTAATAAAAACTCTGTATCAAGGGTTAATGTGTGTCAAATATTAAAAGAAATAAAAAAGGGTTGTAGGAGCATTTCCCTTTTTCCAATTTTTTAAGTTTATTTATTATTTTGTTCAAGGAATAAACACGCATTTATCTACGCTTTTTACTTTGGTATCTGGAAGCTTTCTAAACATGTAAGTTACATATTCCGATGTAATAATTTTATGTAGAATTGAAAGAGCTAAAATTCAAGCTGATAGAATAAATAAACCTTGAAATTATAAGGAATTTCTTCATAATAAGTACAATAAAAAAAAAGCACTTTTTATGCATAGGTAGGAAAAAACATTGCAACTTTTGAAATACTAATCCCTTTCTCTATTTTCTTCATTCAATTAAGGGAGAAAAAAAATACATAGGAAATAATACCTCACTTGTTTGTATAGCATAATGAGATGTGCATGCAAGTGCAAGTACAAGATCGCACACGCACAATTCTTATAACATATTAGCTATTTATTTTATCTATTCGTGTTTTATCTCAATGCTGCATGAAAACTTACTTCAAAAAATATCATTTTCGTATTTATGTAGCTTTTACATAGCCATGTAAGAAGTGTACATAAGTCCAAATCAAAAGAAGTATTTTTTATACAATAAAAAGTCTTTTAAATTTTGTACTATTTGTTCCATTGATTTGTGAATAGTTTCATTCGATTCAGCGCGAAAAAATAAATAGAAATCAGCGCTTCACTTGTATAAATACCTATGTCAGTTGCGTAATTTGCACTTTTACTGAAAAAAACCCACCTTCAAAACTATTTCACAGAAAGTTTCAAGCTTGTTTTCACTCAATTTCCGGTAAAAAAAAAAAAAAACATCAGAAACAATGCCTCAAGTAAAATGCAAAAAGCTAAATATACACCCAGAAGCTTGAATGCTTTCATAGTTACCTTATTTAGGTTGCATTTTCTGGCTATTGCTTGTAATCTGAGTCAAAAATGCGAATCCTGGTTAAAAAAAATATATGAGAGAAAGTACAGTAATAGTCCGTTGTGACGGACCTTTTTTTCTTTTATAATGAACATCTATTTTAATTTAAAATACTAGTAGACTTTTTTTCCCCTACAGATTGTAGACTGAATTACGTATTTTATAAAATACAGAAATTTCTAGAGCAGAATTGTTTAAACAACAAGTTTCCAAATCATAAAAATAAAATAAAATAAAGTGCCTTTTGACTTCATTAACGACAATGAATGCTATTTTTAATAGTAAGTTGTAATTCAGGGAAATAAGGGAGCCTGATAGTTATGTGGTCAACAAAAGTAAAATTTTTTATGTGTGCGTCAGAAATATTAAAAATAGCGATAGAATTTTTTTTTGTTGGAAAGAAGACAACTTAACCGGTGGTCCTACTCGCATTGTTTTATTATATGGGTAAAAATAGAGATGTATAACATGGCGTAACTTTACTTACCTGTCCACTGGAAATCCATCAATGATCAATCAGATACAGGAGCAACCAATACGAATACATTTCTATCGGGATATGAATACGATTTATCCTATAGGAATAGTGCAAACGGAAATTGATTGAATGATAGTGGGACACTGATCTAGTTCATCTCTAACTTGGACATATCTATTGTAAGAAGGGAAGGATGTTCGTTTTTAACTTTTCTGTATTGATATCAGAAATAAATAAAAATGTTTTCCATTTAAATCTTCTTCGTATAATATTGATCACTTAATCAGTAGGAAAATTTATTTTTCTAATAACAATTCTGTGTTGCTATCGTGAATTCGCTTTTTATCACCAATTCGAGGCACAATGTGTCTTAAATATTGACCCAACAACCCTACTGGAAACAGTAAAACCTCATAGCCTTAGTCACCGAAAGAGGTCCAAACAAATGACGAGGGAGTACTTTTTATAGACAAACTATACTTCCACACTTCAGTAAGCAACGGCAAGATAACTTGGTCATAAATTCTTAAATTTATTGTTTCAGATAATTGGGTGTCCTAAATTGAGTTAAAAAAATTACTGTAATGGTAGTATTTTTAAATATAAAGGTATGAGTAGTGAATGTTTAGTGTATATAGTATAAGTATCAATAGAATTCCAAAATTAGCCGTTAACATTATTGTTTTCATTTGAAAAGTGCCTGTTTAAATTCAGTACAAATATTATTATTTATTAATGGATTCGCAGAATAAGTTAATTCGCTTAAAGAAATGTAATCAGGATGATATACTATCGGCTATCTGTGTTTTCTAGTATATCTAACACTGAGTGAATGATATATCAAAATCAATTTAGACTTATGTTTTATAAAGTATGATTAGGAAATTGAAAGAAAGATATTTAAACATTATCTCTTTCATCTATTAGGTAAATGAGAAAATACAAGAATTATAGTGAAAAAATCAATATAAAGATAATATAGATATATAGATATAGATATATAGATATAGATATATAGATATAGATATATAGATATAGATATATNCACTGAGTGAATGATATATCAAAATCAATTTAGACTTATGTTTTATAAAGTATGATTAGGAAACCCCTGATATAGATATATAGATATATAGATACCTAGGTATATAGATATAGATATATAGATACATAGGCATATAGATATAGATATATAGGTAGATAGAGATATACAAATATAAAGACATTTAAAACCGTTTTTTACCAAATGATTTATTTGTATAGAAAAAAAAATGAAGAATATTTAACCCTTTGAACACGAATTTTCATTGAACAAATTTTCATAATTTTTCTAATTATTATTTTGCATTAATTTAGGTCAAAATAAGAGAAGAATATTATATTTAACATTT